AGAGGAGGTAAGAAGTGTCTCTTTTAGAACAGACTGAATCTATTAGGTTTGTAGTAAATTCTGACAGTGCTGTAAAAGGAGCGCTACAGAATAAATCAACGCCAGCCAGGACAATGCAATGTTTGTGAGAGTATGAGGACAGTCTGACTCATGCTACTTTATCAGTAGTTAACATTATACTTTACCATGAGCCAGTGCCTCATTGTCTTTTACAAAACCAGTGACTGTGTAACTTTACAAGGATGATATTCAGTCTAAGACAACCATTGATTGGCTGAAGGCCCACCATGAGCTGGAGGCTGGCCAGTCTTCTTCATCTACCACCTTGTCCATATTTTATGCTTCCATTTGATTTAGCTTTTATCTGTCTACCACAGTGTGTTTCTCTGAATAACAATACACAGTATGATAAGCCATGAGAAACACCGCTAGGCATTGTGGGAATGCTAGAAACAATACTCTTTTGAGTTGCTTAATGCAGCTCAGTGGCATTCCTTCAATGCAGAAAGCAATATTAAAGAGGAGAAATGAATGACAAGTACAGTATATACCATGTAAAGGATTGTCAGTATGTTAGCCGAACAAAATATGTCATATTTATTTATAACTTAGTATCAAGTATGGATATCTAAAAGCACCATGATCAAGGTCTTGTTTAACTTCTAAAAAGAGCAAAAAAAATAAAACTTGAGCCGTGAGGGTTTTCAAAAATCTTTTCTGTCTTCTCTGTTCTTGTGTACATAAAAAGAAACAGTTTGACTTTTGGAGAAATACTCTCATTATTTGCTTTCTTGCTGAGAGTTAAATGAATCAATACCACTCTTATAATTGTCTGTTTAATGTGAAGCTGGAGCTAGGAGATGGTTAGCTCAGCTTGTAACAAAGACTGGAAGCTGGCCTGAATCTGTCCAAAGGTTAAAAAAAAATCACCTATACTTCAAGTTATACCATGCTTGTTTCAACCATATCAAAGTGTGAAAATGTCATGTTGAGGTGTTACAGGGGGTTATGTGTCACACTATTTCTAGCAAGGTACCAGTGCCCCCCATTATTTTCAATTCAGTGTAACTTTATTTCAGCCACATAGGTCCATGTTATTTCTACACTTCAGCTTTAGTATGGATTCAATAAATAACATATAATATGTTAGTTTGTGGACTTTAGAGGTGTTGGTAAGTGGAAGAATATCAGGCAAGCTGTCCACCTGTTTCCAGTCTTTATGTTAAGCTCAACTAATCTAACCTTCTCGGGACAGATGTGAGAGTTAAATCTACACAAAACAATAACAGATTTGTCAAAACCCACAGCACAATTTTATGTGAATTGGGTGTATACTGTAGATGTTTAAACAACATTAAATGATACTGGTTTTTGTTCGTATCGAACATTTTAGACCAGAAGAGCCAAATAAACGATTGACGAAAAAATTTTCAATTTATTTTCAATAAACTTTTCATACTTAAAATAGTTTATTGTTTATACTGTAATAAGAATTAAATCCACGGCATCAAGTATGAAATGAGATTTTAGTGGGAGAATGATTTGAAGGTGCTGCTGTTTAACATGCACGGAGTCCATGCCATTATTAGTTATGAGTATATTAGAGGGACTGGAGGACAGGTATTACGTTTTCCATTTTATTCATTTCTAATTTCCAGTCTGATAATGCTTTGTTCAGTTCCTCATATGATTACAACCCTCATAAAACAGACATTTTCCCAAAGCTTTTCACCACATAATAACAAAAGCGAGACACCATATGAAAATGCCACAATAACAAAGGATGTAGGAGCAAAATACCTGGCAGCACAGAAGAAGTTCATCAAAAAAGAGAGAGTGATGGAAAAAGAAGTTGGCTGTCTGTCACCTGGCAAAAAGAGAACGCGGTTTAATAACTCTGAACAAAGCCGTTCCCTCTAGCAAGTCAAACCTTTAATTACAAAACACGATAGGAGACCAAGGGCACCCAATAATACCTCTGCAACCTTGATACGAATCATACAAAGCAAATGGAGCGTTTAAAAGGGAATGGATAGAGGAGCAATAGCACTGCAGCATAACTCGCATAGAGGGGAACCAAGACAGAGGGAGAGGAGTAAAGCTGGGTGGAGAGGGACGGTGAGCCACTCTAGAAACAGACGTATAAAATTGATGGAGTCTTGGGAAGCAATTGATAGTTAGAGGACAGGAAGCAGGCTGTAAGGCAATTATCACTATCTCTGCCATTTGATTTAAGACCGTCTGAGTGTGTAATACCGTGAATTAATCACATCCAAGGTAGATACATCAGGAGCCCATTTCTGCCTTAAATTTCAATTATTCCTCTCCATCACTGGAAAATGTACTTTAGAGATGTTCTAATTAGCGCAGCATATGAATTTCCAGTCACTCAGGGTATAAATGTTATGTATGTGTTTGTGTGTGTGTGTGTGTGTGTGTGTGTGTGTGTAGGCAGGAAAGAGACAGAAAGCTTAGCTTGATGAGACAGTTACCTTATATGAATGCACAGTGTACGAGCCAGCTTAATCATCATAAGCAAAGCTCCTGACAAATATCAACAAAGGCACGATGCTATGTAAACCCACACAAACTTCCACATATTTAGACTAATGTTGGAAGTAAAAAAAAAACATGTGTAAACAAAAAACAAGTCTTAACACCCGAGCCATACCATCTACACACACAGAACAAGCATACATAAACCTTATTTGCCACCCACAAGGCTGCAGCGTGAGCAAAATGCCACTGCAACTATTGTTCCCACAGGAAAATCTGCATGAATAACATTACATTTAATCATGTAATATTATTCTTACTCTATTAAGCAAATGTTTACACCAATAATTAACTTTTGTTCATTTTCACTGATGGTCTAATTCAACAAAGGAAATGGCATACAGTATGTTGTTTAGTAATCCGGGCTGCAGATGGTTTATAATGAATATTCTCATAAGTTACAACAGCAGGCCATCACCATCAATAAAATGCATTTATAAAAAAAAAAACTGTCTTCCTTGACCTGCAAATTAATTTTTAAAGTGCTGTGATACATCAATAATATATATTTGGGATGATATGCAGATCGTTTGTGCCCCCTAATGGAAAGATTAATTCTTGTTAACATCAGTTTTGTGGGATGAAATAAATCTTGACAGAGTTATTGAGCTTGTCTGTCCAGAAGGACTCCAAATGATGCAACTTTTGTCCTGGACCTTTTAAAGCTCTTTATTCAAGAAGACAATAATTGTGTGTGTATGTATATTTGACTTACGTATACTGTACAGAGGTGTGAGGTTTTTCATTTTTGCCTTTGTAACCCAAGACAGTGGAACTAACACAATGGTCCATTTAACTTGCAGCAGTAAATAGGCCAACTTTGTCATAAAGGTTAATAATTAATGGTTAATAATCCCAATTTTGATAAACCTTTTAAACATATGAGCCATCAATTTAGCACTAGTTGCCTATCCACTGTTAGTCAATGACTGATTTATGCTCATTGCTATGGATAAGTTGAATTTATGAGCAATTTTACTAACAGATTTATAGGAGTTTTTACTGCTCAACAATCAACATTCATAGGCCGCATCTGTCTCTATAATATCTTTCTGTGATTAATTGCTTCCTCATTATTAAATATTCTTGTGATTAACATCATTATTAGGATTACTTGCTCTTGCAAAACCATTCAGAAAAAAAGTCTGTAAGACTATATAGTATATATACATCCTTCAGAGAATACCTTTTATTATTTCAAAATATCTCATCAGAGTCAGTTTTATCAAAGTCAATCTTCTCAATATGCTGTAGCTTTACCTTTGCCATCAAACTGTAACTGTCCTACCAAACAACAAGGCTGCCCTCTGGTGGCAGTGGAACAATGACTCATAATATAACTGAGGCATGTCTGACGAACAGCTAGATTTTAGAGTAGACTTGTCTTTTCTTTTCTTTTTTTTTTTTTATCTGTTTTTGCATTTACCACCTCATTACCTGTGGTCCAGGGCCATTACTCTGCAAGTAGTCAGGTCTTAGAATAAAATTAACTACCTGTCGTACATTTTGGCGACCATGTAACATTACTGATGGGGGTATGGGTTAAAAAATATCTGCATTTAGAACAGTTTTATTGTCTACAAGGTGAACAGACAGACCAAAAAGAGCTGCAGTCTCCAGTTAGACATTAAACAAATTTTGCATCTTGACATACTCCTTTTGTTGTGTCTCAACATAAAACTTAAAATGTAAGACCTACAGTGGCATGCACTTAAAACGAGGGTTCGGTCTCACCAAGAATTTAATAAAAAATTTCAATTCATTTGCTAATGTTGCATGGACCTGGATGAACAAATGTGAAATACAATCACAGTGAAGCTACATTCATTTGAATTATATTGTGTTGTAATGGAAGCAAAGTAATCTTTTAAGAAACTGAAAAACCTAACTGTGAAACATAACTATTACCAGAATACGTAGTGTTGATGTTAAATACCATCGAATTTTACATTGTAAACCACCTATCAAAATGTATGTGGCTAGAATTGCCCTCTTTGCCATGTGTTAATTAAAACATTTTTCTTCATCTCAACTTCTTTTTCTTGGGTCAACATAACCTCACAGAGTACAGATCTGATCGATTACCCTCAGGCTCAGTTTACATCTTGAATTTTGGGGTCTGAATTCAATTCAATTCAATCTGTCCAATCTCAGCTATTCTTTTTTTTTTTTACTGAAAAATGACAAACTAAATTTGAGAAACACTTCATTTTTCTAAATTGACCAAACTTTAAAAATATTTGTTTTAAATGACTGTCCAAAAATGTTGAAGCAGGAAAACTTCATAGAAATGGTTTCCAGAGTGAAATATTTCATAAATCAGTGTCATTCAAACAGTGGTTAAATTTCAAAATTAGGTTTTTCATTATTATGACTTTTCTTTGCTTCTCTATGATCCCTTTCCTGTGAAAAATAAACATGGAGACGTTAAAGTTAGTCTAATACTTTATTTTCTTAAATACCACAGAATATTAGTACAGTCAGTCACACATATTTTCTAGAGGCAGAAGACATTCTGGTCCCTCTCACCCCGCTCTTATAAAGGGATAAAGGGAAACCCTGGGTGGCATCAGAGGCTACGTTTACATACAAATTCACTTATACAGTACAGAGTGCTGGCCATAATCCAGTTGAAATCTCAGTCAGGTTTAATTGGCATGCAATTCGGATAATCTGTGACACAGTATCCATGTTGCGACAGTCTATTTAGCATAAAATACTGGTTACTTTCCAACTGCTCCCTCCCTTTTGATGGTCAAGACAATGACCTCATGTCATATAGGCAGGGCTGGTGAGAGAAGTATAGGCTTCATTTGCCAAATGGATATCATTAGCCCATAATGAAGCCTTTTTTAAGTTACATGTACAAAATTAGTCTTGTGCATAAGAGCCTCGATCTTGTTGCCAACCAATTTCTAACCATGCGCAACAAGGAACGCTTTTTTCTCTGAAGTGGAGAACAAGCTTACCCAGGTTATTCTGAATTATGACATCACAAAACCAGAATAACCACATTATCATCAGATAACCCCATGCATGTAAACATAGCCAGTGTTGTCAGCTACAGTATATACAGTGTTGATTCAGGCAGTGCACGATGGGACCAGGTCAGTCAAGTCAACAGTTAGAAGATTCATATTTAGGGGTTAAATCTCACCAGTTACATGTTTGCAGTCAGGTCAAGACATCATTTAAAATCAACTTGTCACTACTGACAATCTGTCTCTGAATTTATCTTTCAGTAGTACCATCACTGAAGCAATAACAGATTCATTGGCACATTAAACACCATCATGAACAGAGAGTGCTATAATGAATATAGATCATTTCTGACATTTAGGATTTTGTGAGATAAAAATCTAAGCAACATTATCAGTGAGCCATGTCTCTGTGATATTTTTTATAACAAAAGTCATCAGACAAAAGAGAAAAAAAACAAAGGGGCTCTTCAGTGTAACAGTGCAGCAGTGTGAAATGATGTATTCATGGCCATTAAAGTCTGATAGGCAGGAGGACACTGAACACAATACACACTCTGAACGGATGCAGCAAAATAGGGATGTGCTGTATTCCACCAGAAAAAAGATGCATTCAGGTCTGAGCGCTATTGGGTGGAGAGAAAATGGGATGCAAATGACTTTCTAGAGAAATACAGCTTATTTACAGGGTAAGAAAGGAGTGCAAGGCTAAGCTTTCATAGACATTCACACACTTAATATCCACAGTATATACCAAAAGACATGCGTAGAGGCACATACATATTCATCATACAAAAACGAAAACATACCAAAAGCAGAACACCAGTCAAACACGGCTTGTGACTCAAATCTAATCAACCGACAATGAAAACAATGCGCGCTAAAGCACTGACATCATGGGATGTGAAAAGGCAAAAGCTGAAGTTCCAGCCCTTTGAATAAAAAATATTAACATTGTCACAACAACAAAGAGACATCAGTAATCTTCCATCCATCTCTTAACCGATAGTGAGTGCCAGCCTCATTTTAAACATAATTCAACAGAATGTTATCACCCAAAGAAAAAAAAATCTCCTTTTGTCAAAAAGGAGGTCTAATATTTGGTTTTCAAATTGGGTTTTCAACTTTTGTAGAATATGTTTAAACATTTGTGTGGCACAGTGTTAGCGCCTTGATAAATTAAAAAGAAAATCCCTGCTTTGATCCCTAATGGGGAGGGGCAGAATCAAAAGGAAAAAAAAAATAAGCGTCAGAAAGGCATATCAAGACCACCAATTTAAACTGGATTGGAATTGGTATCCGATTGCAGTATCCAAAGTGGTATGGGACTGTAAATTGTAAAAATAAATGCTTGCATGAATTGAAATGCTACAATTTGATTAAAACAGTCCGATTATTCTAAATACAAATGGCTAAAAGGCATCTTAAGAAACTTGTCTCTTAATCTTTCTGTTTAACTTGACATAAAGTTTATTTTTTTATGGTGAAGTAAAACCACATTTCTTTAGACTATGACTAAAAACAACCTTGCAGAGTAATAAAAGAGCAGAGTAACAATGCAAGGACTGGTTGCAGTGTTTAAATACTACCTGTATTGCTACAGACCAATTATAACTTTCCTTCATCCTCATTCCTCACTTTTTTTTTAGCTTACTGTAGTTTGGCAGATCACATAAGAAAAAATAATAAGTCACTGTCACAAACTGATAACGTTCAATGACAAAAGGAAACATTTAAATTATTCTAATTACTAGTCACTATGGAATAAAATAAATTAGACTCGACTTCTTTTTTTCCACTCATTTCAAATCTTACTCCTCCTTCTCGTGTAGAGAGGCACGTACACGCTGGCGCATATAAAAAGCAGTGAGAGCGCTGCAGCAGGCAGTGAAGATAAAGAGTGCAACGGCATCGTGTGCAAGATCACCGTGAAGACGCTCATAGAAGGAACGCCGCTCTGTGAAGTCTGTTCGCAGCGCTTCAACCTGCGTCAGGGTGCACACCACCACAAACACGTGAAAGAGCTGGTGGCCCTGCCCAATGAAGTCACACTTCCCAGGGAACAAACTCTCTGGGTGAGGGCAGCAGAAGAAATAGGCGCCGATTAAGAAAAAGACCACGTGGTAAAAATGGTAGGCCACGACTGGGTCGGAGCAGCCCTCCTGGTAGCAGCTGTAGATGCGGTGAACCACAGGGCTTATGTCTAAACAGTAAGCCAAAGCTGAGGGCACCACTTGGAAGAGCTTTATGGCTACCTTGGGCAGCTCAGGGCTCGCATATTTGCCATAGCAGCAGCCGAAGCAAGTGAGCCAGGCCAAGAATGCTGCGGCGGGTAAAAAGAGCCCTTGCACTCGAGTGTGCCACTCTTTCTCTATGGCGTAGTAGTAGTGCGCCAGGGCGCTGCCGTACTGGTAGACGGCGACCCCCACGTAATCGAGGAAGTAGAAGGTGTAGTAGGAGAGCTCGGACTTGGCGGAGAGGAGATGAGCGAGAGCGCTGAAGGAGAGGTAGGTGAAGGCTGCCAGGAGGACAATGAAGAGGGGCTGAGCGTGAGGGTCTCGCAAAAAATCGACCGTCTCTGAGATCTCCTGCCACTTCACCAAGATGATGAAGGCGGCCAGCAGATGGGTCCACACATTGAGGGTCTCATTGTGCCTTTGGAAGAGGGTGAGGAAGTAGTAGCGCCAGCTTTGGTCCGGCTGTCTGTAGCCGGTGAGGATGTGGCGCTCGCGGAACACCCAGGGAACGTCAGACACCTTCACGGTGCAAGGCAGCGTGGGGAAGGCCGACTCCAGAAGCTGAGGGATCTGACGCAGCTGCTGCGCGTTGATAAACAGGCGACCAATCTGCTCCATCACCACCGTCGCCATGGCAAACTAGAGGCCAAAGAGGAGGGTAGAGAGAATGAAACAAACAGTCAGTCAGTCAATATCTGTCTGGCTTTGAGCTACTGTCGTCTCCAGGTCTGTGTGTGTATAAATTGTACTGTGTGTGTGTGTGCGCGCACGCTCCTACCATGCTACCACTAACATAAAGCAAAGAAGTTGTGCATTAATCCACAACAGGTCGGGAAATCAATAAATCAATGTCAGTTATCAATCAAAACTGTCAAATATTGTCTGTTTCCATGTCTTTTAAGTTTTATGATTATAAATTATATATCTTTTGTACATTTAAGCAAATTGATGGAAAATTTTGAAAAGTATTTTCAATGTTTTCTTACATTTTCTAGCCCAAATGTTTCATCCAAAAGTAAGCAACAGATTGACTGATCATGAACATAATCATTGGTTGCAACTCTAATTTGAGGTAAATGAAAACATGTGGTCACATGATAAAAGGATAGATGGGATACATTTTCATAAACATTATGCAGCTATTTTATATTATTACTATTGACAGCTTCAAACTCATTTTGATACTACACTGACTGAATAGGGAAATATAGCCTCTTTTTTTCCCACATTTCCCCCCGAACAACTGTTCTTGCACACTTGGGTTGAGCGGGTAACATTTACAGCACTACGTCACACACACCACCCACTGTGGGTCTTTAGCTAAGAAGAAGTTAGCTCGGTATTCTCAGTATGCGTCATTTTTCCAGCCTCAAACTACTAAATTTTATAAATTTACTGTTTATCAGACCACAAATGAAAAAATTTGGTTGGAAAACCGATAGAGGCCTCATTGACGACTGTACAAAAACACAACTTTATTTGGTGAAACTATACAATATTGTATGTAGAAAATAACTGCTGATGGACAAATAGCTTTACATGTTGCTAAAGTAACCTCTAACTGTAGCTGGCATTAGCTAGATAACTCAGTCAGCCGTGTAGCTGCCTGGACTGAGAGTGTTGGTGTTTCCACCGCTAGCACAGGAGCTTTGAACTGTGCACACCCGTTGTTGCACTGTACCAGAAGCAGGCGTAACACTTTACAGCACTACGTCACGTGGTTAGAGCGGCCGTAAATCACCTGTAGCAAAAAATACCAATTCTTACATAATGTTGCTTTAAGCTTTAAACACAACACTGACTCCTTATCACCTTTTTACATTGTACATGTACAAGTTACCAAACAGTTAACCCACTGAGCAGATACAGAGCAATATTAACATTCATCAGTAGCTATGTTTTTGGCCATCTCACGGATGTAACTCCACCATGCACTCTCCTTTCAGCTCGGTTTTGGTCTTCACCAGCTCCTAGAAAAAAATATCTGGCTCTTTAGTTGCTAAATGGTCCACTATGTTCACCAGCTAGTCGTTATGTTTGCCAGGCATTTGGTGCTGGGCGGGTAGAGTAGGGTGGCTTTATGGTTGAAAACAGCTGCCTGCTGCAGTTATGTGCCAGAAGACTGAAACAATAAGCCACAGACTAAAGGAGACTAAAAGGCTCCATATGGAAGTGCAGTGTTGCGTCATGATCTGATTCACATTGCAAAACGGTCATTTGATCCATTGTTAATAACAAAAATATTGATTAGTGCAGCTTTAAGTGTTTTCCTCTGTAAGAGTCAATTACTGGCAATTTCAGAATGAATCATAATCATGGACTCAAACTGTTGGATGCGAGTGTTGTTTGTGGAGACAGCAGTTTTGTTTGGTTGTTTGTCTGACCATCTGATTGGTGTCTCTGAATGTGTTCCCATGTTCCCTTTAATCTGTTCTACAACATGATGCATCACTTGAAGGACAGTTACAAACCACAAGGCCTCAGGTGCAATAAAGTTCTCAGCTGTCCTCATAGTCATAAATTCTACCAATGAGGCACTCTTTCTCAGTTCTCAGTATCGGTGATTGCGATCGCCAAAGTACTTCCTGAGATGTGTGTGTCGACACAGAATTGATATTTCCCACACTGCCTATGTTTGAGGGGCGGTTGGTACGGTTTGAAAATAGTTTTTTAATACGAAAGAGAGTGGAAGCTACCAAATAACAAATAAACTATTAATGATACAGGTGTTTTTGGCCAATCCAGCCTTATACACCCAGACAGGTTAAAGATATAGGTTTCACATTATGCTTCACTTTTGCTTGACTTGAAAATGACTCAGACCTGAACTGTGCTGTAATTATGTAAGTATTGTGCATCTCTACCTAAAGATGATACTCTGATTGGCTCTTCCTCATCAGATCTAGCTAAACTAGTTCTGGGACTCACCTTTAAGTAAATAAACAGCAAGAGAACATGAGACTCACAGTTCAGACTCACAGTTCAGTGCTTTGCAATAAACTCTTCTTTTATTTTTGGTTGCAACACTAAAATATGTTGACTTAAAAATGTCTCTCTCTCTGCACATTGTACTGATTGTGTCTTCCTGGCTACAACTAATGTGAGCGCCCTCTACATATACTGATAGCAGGGCTAAAATCAGTTTACCACATCCTTGATTTGACGTGCCCATCACATATTTCTGGGTTAGTGTACTCTACATCCCGGAGATGTGGAGAAGGCAGAGAGCAGAGACAAGCAGCCTCACAGAGATCAGGCTGTGTGGGATGAACACAGGCCGAGGTTCAGTCGGAAAGGCGTGGAGTGATGAATGGGAAGAGATTACGTAACATAACCCCATCCGACGTCCACACCCTATGTTTCCAGCAAGGGTTGCAATCATTTCAATTATTTATGGGTAAAAAAAAAACCGACTATAACCATGAAGGATTTTTTTTATATATATATGCATGGAACACGGGCCTATGTTGGGCCTGTTGCAGTGAATTCCCACAAGCAAATCTGCACCTGGTCGACATGTCTGTTTAAATTTGAGATCCAGTGTCCGAAATCAATTTGCATTCCCCCTTTCCCCGAGCCTCGATGCCTGTTTTAATTCCTCATGAGCATCCCAACCCTCTGCTGTGCGCGGTTTACTGTTGAATGGATAAAATAGCGCTGCACATTAATGGAAAATGTCAAGGGGGGTGGGGTTGGGGAGGGGGTTCGGCGGTCGAGGCGCTTCTGAACGTATTTCACGCTATGCCTCTATACCGTTTTACCAAAGAAATAGCTGAATTGTCGAGATCAAATTAATTACAAAAAAAAAACATACCTGTATATGGTAGAATCAGTCCAAAGCTTTACGTTTAGCAGTCGATGAATGATTTAGAGCCGTACGGAATATAGATAACATTGTTTGAAGGGTTGAACAGAGAAAGGATGACCGTGACGGGAGCAGCGCCTGGCGGCTCTCACCGCGCAGCTGCTGGGAGGACACAGACAGTTTGACCGGCGGCTGTTGTAGCCAATCAGCAAACGCGGCGCCTGTCTTTGACACGGCCGCGCACATCGTGTTAACCAATGACAGCCGCCGCCTGGCCGATCGGCCCCGCCCACTCTCCACCGAAATTCTTCCACTGCCAGATGAATGTATGGCACTCCGATGAGGCATTTCTGTCTGATAAGGAGCGTTTGTTGTCTTATTGTTGACCCCGTGTTTATTAAACTGGTTACCGGTGTCTTCCAGTCATGCCAGTGGTGGCCTGATTCAAAATTATTTAGAATTATTTATTGTTATTAGTTGTACTTAACTATATTAATGATATTAATGATTTAACCCATAAGGGTCCACTATGATATAGAGGCCTATTGTCATTCCCTACTCCTACAATATCCACACAGGACTTTGCTATTCCATATTACTGCTCCCAACTTTGCACATGCATGTATCATGGTGTGTCTGTTAGGCTGCATGAAAAGGAAAAGGTTGCATGCTATTCCTTTTGACTTGCATCATTTTCAGTGAATTAAGTTGAAGCTAATCTCATAAATAATAACTCTTACCAGCACTTTCCAAAAACAAACTTACAAAGTGTTTTACATTAAAGATAAATAATATTAAGATCCCAAACATAAGATATAAAACAATAATAACATAATAATAATAATTTAAATTTAAATAGGCCTAGTTAAAGCAAATACCATGAGTTAAGAAAAAGCCATAGGATAATAGAGTCTTGTCAGATTTTAAAGAGGAATGTATGTTGTTACATTTTACATTTGTCTGTCAGTTTGTGGCTTCCAAGTTACTGTGATAACCCAACTGGATCTCATTTGGTTATCAAAACAAGCACTTTCCCTGCTTGACTAGTGTGGTCAAATTCGTTTTATAGCCTGTCTTTTCTCTTGATTAGCATTCAGTTACAAAGTTCCCTTTGTTAGAATCTAAAAGACTTGCATTGTTTCCTGATTCAAACCATCTTGTAGTGGTCTGAATACAGAGGTGGACCCAGGGTTTGTCTATGATAACACTGAATATGTTTTGGCCTCCAGAGTATTTATCCAGGAGGATCTGTGTCTTAACCTGAATAAGGCCAACTTTGGAGAGCACAAGTGAAAAGGTGTTTTAAAAAAAAGCTCAGAACATGATTCATGGGGTAGAGCAGATGATGATAATACACTGTTAAATCAGGAAAAGTCAAGATCACGAGCAAGATTCCAAACATCCAGCACAGGCTAAGAAAGGGATCTTGGCGTCGAGCCAGCTATTGTGTCCTGTGTTGTCAGTCGAGGAACACAGCACTATGGGACTAGCAGCTTTCCGGGCTGATGAATCCAGCAGTTTCCACCCAACATACAAAGACGGGATTGTGCGGTACTGTGTGTGTATGTGTGCATCCCAAACACAAACAACTGTGTACATTCCTATATGTTTCGCTTTTGATTCTGTGAGCACAAAGTATTAAATCCATAAGAAACTTGATAAACAATCTAAACATTAGAGGAAGAGATTATGTGTAGGATGGACATTTCTGTTGTTGTGGTTTATTGGATTTAAGCACTTATCTTTTTATTGACACAAGCTGAGGAAAAAGGGGGATGAGTGCAACTATGTGACTTACTATCCATGTGCATTATCAGTAGTTTCCAAATGGTGCAGTATAAAATTCTAAAACCACTGAAGTTAAACCACTTAAGATTGTCAAATTAATACCGTAATGACATTATAAATTATTTTAATGAAAAAAGGCCTTTTCTGATACATAAACTAGTGTCTATTTGAACACAGCACAAATAGCGAGTAGCAAATGAAATAAGTAAAAATCTTGATATCCAATTTAGAAAAGAATGATAAATGACAGTAATCACTATTACAAACTTTAAACTCTATAAGCTCTACGACTGGAACAACTAAACAGGTTGAACATGTACACAACTGCTCTGAACTCGACATTGAACAAACAACAGTTGGCACTGAGTGACATTTGTTACACAGGGGGGACACTAGACACTGACTGCAAGACTCTGTAGTTACACAAAACTTTGCATATCATGCAGGTTTTCCCTTATATCAGACTGAAACTGGCAGTGGAATGTAACGTAATGTAAGTATAGGCCTACTGGCCTACTGTAATAGGTACCCCATCCTTAAACGTGATTTTTGAGCTGTAAATCAGAATCAGAAATACTTTAATAATCCCAGGGGAAAATTACTTGAATTAAAATGAATTATATGACTGTACTATGAGGAAACACATCAGTGCTAGTGTTAAAATTTACATGATTACCAAAAATCTCCATTTAGTGGGTTGAAAAATGGCTCAACACGGCGCCTACTGTAAATCACCCTGAACCTTGTTTGGGTTCTCCTCTCTCAGCTTTAACTACAACACAGGTACCACACAGAAACATTTACAAACAGCATTGATAGTGCTTCAAGTAACTAAACTAACTAAATTTACAGCGGACAATTTGTGTCCTATCTACTGTCAATGGTTGGCCCTGACGACCAGCTGTGGTTCCTGCTACAACAACGCTGTGGTTAGTCTGTCAATCACTCCGGTTGGTGTCGAGGCCACGCCCCCTAACGTTATCTGTCAGGTACAGTTACGCTTTCTTGACAAATTTTGGAGTGTGGTTGTTTGACCAATAGGAAAGGAGCTCGTGTGACTCTCAACCAATCGGATTCAGCTGCCCCCCCCCCCTTCCGCGCAAAGTGAGTATATAAAAACCCCCACCTGTCCATTTCTTGACCACTTCGGAGATATTTAGCAAGAATTGTCGTTTTATCTTTCAGCTCCACCTTTAGGAAACATGGTGAGTACGGAATAACGGGGAGATTTTTGTTTTATTTAGTCAAACTAACAACCCACATACATTAACACCAATTATCAGTTTAAAATATAGTCTATTAATGGCATTAAATTAGCCAACTGCCGAACTTTTAGCTTTCCAACTGCCGATTTTGTAGCGTTAGCTAACTGACCTAAAAGAAGAGTCTGAGGTGAGACGTTAGAACAGTTACCTGTTTTGAAGTATTGTTATTTTTTAATTGTGCTTTTGAATATCAAGTGACAAGTGTAGAAGTTATTGGTGTTTTCTTTCTAATTGAAAAAGCAGATATGTAACGTTACTTGCCAGCTTGACACAGTTATAACGTTAACTGGTAACGGCTCTTTTTTTTGTTTCTCTTCCCTGTATGTGTCTGGCTTTCTTTAGTAAAGGCCCCACACACAATGTTAACTTACCTCCATAGCTTATTATTTAAATAAACTGAATAATACACGCACATCCTGAACCGGGGCTAGCGAACGGGCCAGTTTGGATTTTTTACTCGTACTGTTTCATCCCTTTTAATTAATTAATTAGTTTCATCAGTAGTTGTGTTTACAGTTTAATATCAAAATGACTCAGGTGGAAAAGCTCTGTTCTTTTGCCTTACCGTCTCTTTGAAAGGGCCTGACTTCAACCCAGATGTTTCTAAGCCTTGCATTTTATGGTAAATGTTAGGGCTGTAAGTAACTGTTTTCATTATTAATAAATCTCTTTTTATTTTAACACAATCTAAAGATTCAGTTAACTGTCATACGTGACTAAAGAAACCAGAAAATGTTCACATTTGAGAAGCTTAAATCAGAGAATTTGATCTTCATTCTTAAATGACTCAATGAATCATCGATTATCCCAATAAATAGCAATTAATTAATAAATGACAAATTGTTGCAGCTCTAGTGAATGTTTCAAATGGCTTTTTGTTGTCATCCAGCGTGAGTGTATCTCAGTACACGTCGGCCAGGCTGGCGTCCAGATTGGCAATGCCTGCTGGGAGCTTTATTGCCTGGAACATGGGATCCAGCCGGATGGACAGATGCCCAGTGACAAGACCATTGGAGGAGGAGACGATTCCTTCAACACCTTCTTCAGTGAGACTGGAGCCGGAAAGCACGTCCCCAGAGCTGTCTTTGTGGACCTGGAGCCCACTGTCATTGGTAAACTGAACTTTCATGAAATATCAAAGTGCTGTGTGGATTTCTTTGTTTTACAGTTGTTCAAGCCTTTTTATAATTTTATGCTAATTCCCTTTTCAGACGAGGTGCGCACTGGGACCTACCGCCAACTGTTCCACCCTGAGCAGCTGATCACCGGCAAGGAGGACGCTGCCAACAACTACGCCCGTGGACACTACACCATCGGCAAAGAGATCATCGACCTGGTGCTGGACAGGATCCGCAAACTGGTGGGTCGGTTTAGTGTTTAGGGGTTTCAGGTTTTGCTCCAGAATATCAAATTAAATGACATTACTGTATCTTATCGCTGTCTCTCTCTCTCTGTCCTCAGGCTGACCAGTGCACCGGCCTTCAGGGCTTCCTGGTTTTCCACAGCTTCGGCGGTGGCACCGGCTCTGGTTTCACCTCCTGTCTGTCGAACTAACGGCAAAGAAGTCCAAGCTGGAGTTCTCCCATCTACCCGGCCTCCCAGGTGTCCACCGCTGTGGGTGGAAAGCCCTACAACGCCCAATTCTGAACCAACCCACACCACCCTGGGAGGCCAACTCTGACTGTGCCCTTCAAATGGTGGACAAACGAGGCCATCTACGATATTCTTGCCGTAGGAAACCTCGATATCGAGCGTCCGTCCTTACACCAAACCCTGAACAGGGTTGATCAGTCAGATCGTGTCCTCCCAAATCACTGCTTCTTTTCGCCTTTCACTGCTTCCCTTCGCTTCGATGGTGCCCTCAATGTTGATCTGACAGAGTTCCAGACCAACTTGGTGCCATATCCCCGTATCCACTTCCCTCTTGCCACCTATGCCCCTGTTATCTCAGCTGAGAAGGCTTACCATGAGCAGTTAACTGTGTCCGAAATCACAAACGCCTGCTTCGAGCCGGCCAATCAGATGGTGAAATGCGACCCTCGCCACGGCAAGTACATGGCTTGCTGCCTTTTGTATCGTGGTGATGTGGTGCCCAAAGACGTGAATGCTG